AGAAAGTATTTAAAGTTTAGATATAATGATCTATTCAGACTAACTAGTTTGATAGTTTAGAAAAGATTAGTTAAAAACTAGTTTGATATAAGTATTAGAATTAGAACAAATCTTGTAAGGGTATAAATACTGGAATTGTGCAGTTTAATAGTTAACTTTGACTGTTAGTGGTAGTTTCAGCTACTGCAGAAGGTATTCGAAGCCTAATCTAAAAATGTATGAGATATAGAAAAATTAGAGAAGTATTTACTACACCTTTTTTAGGACAATCTGATAGTATGAGAACCCTATTAGGTTATTTATAGAATTAAAACACAAGTAATATAGCAGATGTCAATCTGAGTAGCCTTCAATTGAAGCAGTACAAGGTTATAGGTTGGTGTAATTGTAGTGGTAGTATAGAATAGAAGATATCAGAGAGTTTAATAAGTAATCTCCTAGTTAGATTACAGATACAGTATATAGTATAGAATCTTCAAGCAGACTACTTAAATAGGCAACCAAAAGTTGTATATATAGCTAAATATACTCTTATTAATCAAAAAAATATTATTAAAATACCTAATAAAAATCTGCTTTTCTATAATATTGTAAATGTAAAAAAAAAAAAAAAAATTAAAAAATTTCATCTTTTAAGTAAAATAGATCAAAAATAATTTTGTTTTTAAATTTTAATTTTATATTCTAAAATCTAAAATAATTTTATTAGTATATATAAACTACAATATATATAATCAATTAAATTTTAGTTTAAAGACTTGTATATCAATAGTATAGTAGTTAGTGCTTTTAGATCATAATCACAAGATTACAAGTTTGAGTTTCATCCTGATAACAAATAGTTTCATCAAGACTACAATTAGATAAGTTCTTTAGAAAATTTTTGATTAAAGAAAGAACAAGATTTAAATAAAATTTATATATTAATATAGATATAAGGCTAGAGATAATCAGATAAGGCACAATTTATCAATAAATAATACTAATATTAAAAAAACTTAGTTTAAAAACTATTAAAAACAAGGATATTAGATATAAAAAAATAATTTAACTTGTAGGTTATATGAAGTTAAAAAACTGCAGCTCTATAAAATATAGATTCTATATTGTAATATCAAAGACTCAAGATATTATATAATATATTTAATAGAGCATAAGTTATTTCATGAAGTATAATAACTAAATAAAAAGTGCATTATATATATTTAAAGATAGTAATATTATTAATATAAAAAATATTTTTAGTTTAAATTTATTTTTTAGATATATTATTTATTTAATTTTTTTTAATATTAAGGTGCTTATTTTGAAGTTTAGCACATTTATTAATTTTGGTTTCAAATGTCAGGGTAGCTACAGAGCCACTTTTGACTTTGTTACATTAATAAGAGTATATTTTAGCTATATCTGCACCTTTTAAGCATCTAATTAAGTAATCTTCTATTACTAGGTTCTACACTAGATGCTATATCTATAATCTACTATTACTTAAGTTATTTAATTAAACTTTTTGATTAATTTAACACTATCAGATATTCTCCCAAAGAGGAACTACTGCTAAGGCCTCTTAGGACTATTTTATCCTTGTAGTAAACCTACTAGAGCAGTTTATATTTCACACATATATCATCTAGATTTTTGGTAACTTACACCTTGACTATGGCCAAGTACTTGTGACAATTTACTTTCACTACTGTTACTTACTCCTTGCCTTTGCAAAGTTCACCCAAATTTCAGTACATACTTTATGGACTATCAACAGTACTTTGATGCCAATTAATGGTGCCTCAAACTTTCAATTCAGATGACCCAGAAGAAAGCAGTAGGCATTACCTAGTATTCCAAATGAATTCTTTTTCCTCTAGCTAATCTGACAGTCTGGTTAGTGTAGTGCTTGCTAAATACTTGGTCCTTGTTTAGTTTACTGCTAGTGTTTGGTTCTCAGATGATAATCCTTTACATAGTATCATCAAAGATCTGTGCTATTTCTCTACTTAGGACTTCTCAAGTAGGTTTCTGTATTCTCTGATCCCTTAGATTTATTTGGCTGCTTCATTTAGGTTTTGTATAACTTATACATCATACTAATGTTCTGCAACCTTTCAGTACAAGCTGGTGTAACCAAAATCACAGGTGCTTACCTGATTAATATACTATATTATACAGTTTTATTGTAATATATTCTGTAAATTCAAAATTTGGCACTAGTGAGATTCAAACTCTTGTTCTGCTGCTTGGAGGTGCAACAACTTACCAACTACACTAAGTCACCACATTCTTCATCTATATTAAAGTTATTTATATAAAATTAAAATTTTACTTAATAATACCTACTCTTATATTTTATATAAATATAACTTCTTTAACTGCCTATTTGTTATTTATACAACCAAGATAGTACCATACTCTATTAGATTGTGTCTAACTATTTAACCTCTACAAAATTTTATTAAAAGTTTACTACAACATATACAGTCAACTTCCTCTATAGTCACCTCCTCTATAGTTACAAAATTAGTAAAATTACAAATTTAGTTTTACTAATTATTTATAGCTATATAAAAAATATCTCTATATTAATTACACCTCTTTATAATCACAGTTTTTTGTATCCTAAAGGTGTGACTATAGAGAGGTTTAACTGTACTTAATTTATTGATTTTAGATATATTAAATGAAGCTATTTTTAATTTATATTCTCAAATTACAAATTTTTATAGTATATAAATTCATAATTAACAAAATATACTATCTCTTATATCTACAATTTCAGGTCTAATTTCTTTTAATATTATTTTATTGCTCAAAACATTACTTCATTTATCAAAATTGTAACTTCATTTATTATTAAGTTTTTATTATATCTTAATCAAAAAATTTATATCAATATTTGATTATTTTACTATATTTTCAAATTACAAGTTTTTATCACCTCTTTTACTCTATTATCTTCTTTAGTTTTAGTTATACCTCAATCTCAACTATCACCTTTTTCTATTGCTAGTGCTAAATTAGAAACTTGGTATTCAAAATGAATTAAATATCAAATCAACTCTCTATTTAATTTTAAAGCCTGAAATCTAGATAAGCCTTTGTCACTCTGGTAGGTTTAGATTACAAAAAATTTTATCTAAGTCTCTATTCTTGATATTCTTTGGATATAAAATTTATATATAGTTTCTTTTTGTAAATTTTCTTGTAAAAAAATTCAATTGAGTTTTAATAAAGTTAAAAACATGGCTTCACCTTAAAATTTAAAAAAAAACTTTGAACAAAGATTACTTATATAGCACTTAACTGGCTAAAAATTTAATCAAATTTTTTTTATTTTAATTTTATAATTTTATAAAATTAAAATAAACAAATTTTGATCAAATTTAATCAGATCAGTACCAAGTAATCTTTGTTCATCTTTAAAAAAAAAGCTATAGTCAATTTTTTTTAACTTTTAATAAATATTTCTTACAACCAGTTGTTCAATTTTTTTTATTTTAATTCTATGAAACTATAGAATTAAAATAAAAAAAAATCATCAAATTTGGATGTCAAAAAATCTTAGTTTAAAATTCAAAAAGATAAAAATTTACCCGATTTTAGTTTTTTGGGCTTTTTTAAAAATTTTAGCGATGATTTCTCAATAACCACTGAACCAAATTCAATGAACTTTTTTTTTATTTTAATTCTACAAAACTATAGAATTAAATAAAACATTTTTACCAAATTCGATCAAGTAGCTATTGAGAAATCATCACTAGGAGTTTTAAAAAAACTTTCGAATTTATAAGTAAATCCCAGTAATGCTGTAATGGGTCGGCATCGATCTGCTCAATGTTGGTGGACCCACTAATCTATTCTGACTAATTACGAGTATACTATATAATCAAATGCGATTTTTGTAGTATACCCTACTACATTACACCATAACTATTCGTAATACCGGAACAACTACCGCGACATTTTGAATTTTTGATTTTGTTAAGACTCGAGACTATATAAATCACAGTCCGAAGGGTATTTGATATCAAAAATAAAACTTAGCATCACCACCCTAAAAAAAAAATATCACTACAGAAAGATCCTCAGGAATTGATTAATTTTACTGACAAAGTCATAACACATTTATTAAGTAAAATTTCCAACTAATAATTTTGCTATAGACTATGTTGGCTAATATTGCTTAATGCCGGCCCAACTCCCTGTAACAAAATAGCAAAGACCTGATTTATCAAATCTTCACATAAGTTTTTATAGAACTGGCATAAAAAATAATATGCAAAATTACAGTTCCGAACATAATGATGGATATATAGTAATGCTGATAAAAATTTTGCAATGTTGGAGAAATTATCACTTGATAATACACAATTTAAATGTAATTTTGCGTAATACAACCCTGGCTGCGGAAGTGAACACCCGAACATCGGGGTAATCGAAAATTAGTTCAATACATACGAGCGTACGTATCTACAGGCTGTATTCATATTGATATAGTGCTGTCACGATCTTTATTATTTAATCCATTAGGATGCTACGTCCGAACCCTTAACTCCCTATATAGTTATAAACGGATGTAGCTAGACAGAGAATAGGTCAAGGATAATTATCGTTGTTGTAAGTTTATTTATCACCTCCTTTATAACAAATGTTTAATGCCATGCAACTTGCGTGCACTTATTGAAATTAAGCATCTAATATTAGGCTTTTTCATCAAGATGGCATTAAAAAAAAAAAAAGACAAAGTAGATGGTTTTTAACAATTACTTTAGGGGACTTGTTCAGTTTAGATCAGAATTTAACAAGATATTTCTATTATTTAATTGATGCATCTCATTAGAAGCTTGCTTAATTAAACTTTTACAATTTGTCAAAAAACCAATTGTCCGCAAAATGTGTGATATACTGAATGTATGAATTGAATATTAAAATATAAATCGAATAATAATTTATAATTTTATAATAATTATTCAATTGAATCAAAATACATATTTGACAGGGAGAATTCAATCTTCAATAGAAATTCGTTTGCGTTGAGATTCATCTAAAAAACTTTCGTCTGTTTCTTCATGTGGTTTATAAACTATAATTGTTAAAATCATTGTTAAAGGTTATTGTCAAAATTATTGTAAAGATTTGATAGAATATATTATGAATATTGTAAAATATTTTATTGTTAAACATACTGATATCTTTTAGTCCCATGTCGAAATTGCCGAGTACAAATATTGACCATACTAATGTCGTCTAAATGGACATAATGATAATTGATAAGAATATTGCAAGCTTAAAATGAGAGATCAATAATTCGACTTACAGCAGCCATTATGATACCAACAATTACTATTAGAAACATAAAAGCATCAATTAATATGAAACAAGGAACGAACAACAAAGATCAGGTAAACCTACTTACTAAATATGATGAAAAAGTACCAACTACCAGTCGCGTCACCAATTGAATAATATAAAAGTATTACAAAGTCTAAAATGCAAGCAGCCCATATGAAACAAACAATGTACATTCCCACTCTCCACTCTTGTCGTACCTAAATTATTATAAGGCACCTATGTTTTAAAAGAAATTAATAAGTTTTTAAGAATGCTTAAAAAATGACTTACCGAACGATATGCTAATAATTGATTTATAGCAACACAAATAGTGACGAAAAGATGAAATAGATAAAACTGAACAGGCATATATCTTAGGTGTTTTAGACCATCTAGTTTACTAAATGTAATTACATATACATTTAACGCTTCGACAGAAAGACCCAAAATGAAAATCAGATCAAGTTTTAGTAACAAGAGATAAATTAAATAGGTTCTGTAACTGGCTATAAAGTTGTCATATAGTAAATGCGTTAAAAAATAAATAGAGTGAATTTATAAGAACACTATATATATACTAAATTTTATAAATAAATTATACCTTGCATGGATAAATCAGCACCAATTTTTTTGTAAATATTCCAACCAAATTGCTGGTATAATTTAAAGCATATAAATCCCACGATAATTGAAAATAATAATAATGCGACTATCACAGGTGCATCGTATTTCAAAAACTGTGTATGCAAAGGTAATCTATTCGGACAATCCTCTTCAAAGTCAAGATACCATTTCTTGACTTCTACCCATTGAATCTATTAAGACAAACCAAATTTGAATATAAGAATTCGTAACACTGAAGATATTTAATTAATGAAGCATTATGTTAAGTAATTTCTAAGAGTACTCTGGAATATCACTATTAAAAAATCACATCATAGGAACACACCATTAACCATTACGGCGCGTTTACGATTAGCCCAACATATAAGGTGCGTTTTGACTATTAGATGTTTATCATGTGATTTACAATAACCAATAGTCAAAAAACAATAATGAATGACGCACCTTATATGTTGGGCTAATGCCCAAGTTTCGTAAACGCGCCGTAATGCCTATATATACTTACTATCCCATTAATAGCAAAAAGGAAGTTGATAACAGCGATTGCTATTACTTGAATTGAATTTTGGTTATATATCTTGATAAAATGAGATTATAAATAATAGAATGAGATTATAAATAATTAAGATAAAAAATTTTATATAATAAAAAAGCATGACGATAAAACAATATATTTACTGCACTAAAACAAAACCACATCAGAAAGAATTGGAAAATGATGAAAATAAGATTTTCATCTTTAATATTATTTAATCTCACATATGAAGGTTGAAATATACAAGTAGCGTTTAAATCCAATTCGACAGTTATATTGCCCACACTATTCAAGCTTCGTTCAATGTCAACATTACGTGAATACACTCTAAGTTCCAGAATAATGATTGTAATGACTTGCAAGATAGCAATAAGCATAAATAGTTGTGTCCATCTTGATTCGTTTAGACGAACCAGCTGGCGACAAGCGACAACAGTGTGAGAAAAAAAAATAAACAAAATAAAATTTGAAATATTTAAGGTGGCTGATAAATATTATTAGCATGTTACATACCACCTTTCTGTACCATCTTTTATAAAATTCTAATTCCAAAATTTTTACCATCTTATAAAAAATGTAAAATTAAAATTTATTATTTATTTATTTATTTATTTAAATAAACAGGCGAATTGTTCGGTTCTCGTCTCCAAGAAATCTTTAATAAATGAACTTCTTCTTAATAAATCTTAGTGGCTGTGCCACCATATTTCACTCGAAGCCTCAACAATTGTTCGGGTGAATATAAAATTGCAAAGATCTGAAAACCGCATTACTTTGATGATCTAATTCTATAAAAATTTCGCGTTTAACATGCGACGCCACGTCTTCTTTCTAACATTTCCGAAAACATCTTGTTCAAATCGAATTTATTTGTCCTAAATAAATAACGGTCGATTCAATATTTGATGAATAAAGGGATTTCGCAATATAGCAACCATTGTTAACATTAATTACGTTAATTGATGAATAAGTATATCCATATGGAAATGCAATACTCATGATTGTATAGTTTGAAAAACATGTAATCAGAAGTTGATTCTTGTAACGGTAGGGCGAAGACTCCTAAATGGTCCTTGAAAAAGTGGCTCATTCACATATGATTATGTAATAACCTGTATTTTTGATATGCGTCAATTTAAAAATTTTTATTGCAAATAAACCGATCTTTCAGATCATTTGTTTGTATCATTTTAAGCATGACAATAGTTCATTCGTCCTCTCAGGATTATTATTCAACATATACCGAAAGACGTAACTCATGAGCGATGTTAAACATATAAATTTTCAAAATGTTGCCAAAAAAAATTCGGCTGAAATGAAGGGATTGCTTACATCCAATTTGATTAGTAAAACATAATAACTTCTAGCTCCAACTCGGAAGGATTTCGTGAATTTTTTCTAATCAATAACATAATATTTTATGATTAATTTACAATTGAGAGAACGAAACTAGAATGTTTATGATTGAAAATGAACAAAAGGATTGTTTATGTCTTTACATTTTAGAATCTAGGATCTGCTAACGTCATAAATAATATAAAAACAAGAGATCGCCTATTTCCACCATGAAAATTTGCTATTTCCACCATGCTTTTTATTTTCAATTGAAAAATAACATTCGTCAATTAATAATTGACATACATTGAGAAATGACGCATAAAATTTCCACAATTTGACATAATTTATCATGACAATATGCTTGTCATGTTTATGTAACTGAAAGTCATATGAAAAGCTTGGCAGCATGGTGGAAATAGCAAATGTTCATGGTGGAAATAGGTGTTCCCTAAAAAAATATTCAAAACCTGATATTTCAAATTCGTGTTATAGTAAATAAACAGTATAATACAGTCGACTGCATATTCTAGGAGGTTTTGTTCGAAATAGAGTGGGCTCGTTATATAGTTTGCTCTCCCTGTACTGAACAGTTCGATATACAGAACTAACCAATAAAATCATATGTAGGATCTCAATGCCTTCGAATAAATAATTTGATCGAATGATTCGAACACTTTGGAATTTAATTCAATTCACGAGTCACAAGTTAATACGAGTCCAGTCACTAACTTTGAGGTGACCGGGTCAAATTTTGAAAACTTTTGAAGAAAAATTTTTTATGTTTTATAATAATAATCGGGTAGGTTTCAAAAAAAAATTTTTACAGCTGTTTTCATACGTAAGTACGTACGTATAACTGTATAACTATCATACGTACGTATGTACATATGTTATCTGTTATAGTTATTGTGTGGGTTGTTAAAAATAACAAAATTTGCACGGGTTAACCGTTACATGTCCGAAGGCATAGGTTAACCTTACAAATTTACTTATTTTCTATGACCCATATAATAACCATATTATTGCACGGTGTCCAAATAAATGAAACAAGCCCGGTTGTTTATAAAACCCGTGCGTACAGTACGTACCAATTTTTATTGAATCTATTATGCCGAAATAATAACTTAATCGGCCGAAAAATCATTCAGCTAATTTTTTACAGGTCCCAGGAATTATGAAAACAACTGTAAAAACTTTTATGTTATGAGAAACAAAAAAATTGCCTTAGATAAAAATTTTTCCAAACATTAGTGCCACAGATCTTTTGGGGATGTGGCAGTTAGAACTAGCAGTGCTTTTGTGCTCGTTATTTTTTGTAATATGAGAAAAAAAAAATATTATAATTTACGAATTGGATCCTTTAAGGCGACTCAGAATCATAAAATTTATTAGTGATGTACATTGAAAAAAAAAAATTTAGTTGCACTCATAGAATAAAATAGCTTATTATGTAAAACCTTTGTTGATGCGAAAATGAAACATGATTCTTAACACAGCAAATATAACCTATAATCTGCTCTTATACATAAGTTATAATTTATCATATTTGATTCGTATAACCAAGTACATGACATGCTTTACGTAGGGATTTATAATTTTATCATATTTGTTTCGTATAACCAAGTACATGGCATGTTTTACGTAGGGATTGAAAACATTAACCCGGACGTCAAAGAAATCGATGGAAATAGAATTAGGTGGGAGAGGAAAGGAATCACAGTCATTTGACATTCCATGATAAATGCATTCCAGCGGAATATTAATAATCGCGATTTATAGTCCCAAACTCATACTAAATAAATAAATAAAAAAATTTAAATTCATTCAATTCTGTAGTTTAATCGGAAAATACAAATTTGTGATTATTAAAACATCTTTCATAATTCTGACCACATTTAAAGTTGTTTGGTTCTAAATCTGGCCAAATGATCTGCAAATTTGACCAGAATTATTAATAATGGGGTTTTCTATTAACTGATCTAGCGTTACTTACCTAAAAAATTTCGCTAGGTAGTTAGGTTAGAAAGAGCTTCAGTAGTACCAAAATTTCGCAAGGAAAACTATTTGTTAGTGCACAGGTGTTTTATAGATAAAATATTGAGTTTTGAGCGGTTTTTTGGTTTGTTTTGTTTCTAAATCTGATTGCTAGTGAAATTTTTTAGGTTGGTAACGCTAGGGCATTTTTTTCTATTTGCCAGATAATGTTTCTATTTGCCAGATAATGCAATTCCACCGTTATGCAGAAAAAATGTGAAGAAAATGAAAAATTATTGTCTAAACTGACCTTGGGGAACTAATTAAAAATGATGGGTGCCTAACTTTACATATATGAAATAGATGATTTATATAAATAACCATAAACCTAATGAAAAAAGGTCTCTTCCTAGAAGAGTCGAGGCTATGCAGGCTGTGCAGTAGATTCAAAAAATCTTCGATTTTCCCATTCCTAAGTATAACATACCCTTCAAAACTGAGTTGACATAATTACGATTCAAAGAAGTTATTGTGGTGTTCTTGCAAAGCGCAGCTGTTAATGCCTGGTTTAAATTCATTATTATAGAGATTCAAAGTTAACTTAAAGCATAACAATTGTGTGACGTAATTAATTAGAACTCTAATAATTCAAAAAAAGATAATCACGTACCTTCATTGACATTAAGGTGACCACAAAAACGATATCTTTCAAAAATACAATAAAGATTCATCGATGCTCGAAATAAACGATGGTGCTCGAAAACAGAGTTTTAAGACGATGATGCTCGAAATTTACTGATTTCAATTTCAAGCGCACCAGCATCAGTTCGGTTATTCACACAATATTGTCATGCTAATTAAAAAATAAATATTTCAATTAGTATCCAAAAATTGTGCAGAAATTAAACCTTTTTATCATCTCCGTTGGAGGTGTATTATTAGGAGTGTAGTTTAGATTGCATCATGAACTCTATTTGGGAAGGAACCAGTATTTCTTGATTTTATTTTTGAGTCTCCATTCTTCACGAAGATTGGCCAGGGTTTATGCTAAAAGTAAATATTGTCGCCAGTATTAGAAATTCAACACAATTGCATTAACAAATAAACAGGTTAAAAGCATTTCATACCATTCCATCATACTCATCTCTAGGCACTTAAGATTTTCCGATAGGTCAAAAGATGCATCTGGCTCTTTGCTTCCTTCCTCCACGCGTTTTTTTTGCTATTGGCCAACAATAGTAAGCAATGAAAAACATACTTAAATAAAAAAAAAAAAACTAATAAAACACTCACTCGTTGCATCAAAAAATTTAATATCAGCAAGAGTGCAGATATAGAATCCTTATGAAATGACGAAGGAAATTTGATAACACATTATTTATCTGTTTGGAGAATATAATTAACCAAGGAAACATCTTTCGCAAGTTCATATAGTAAACTGGAAATAAATAATACATTGAAGCAAATAGGAGATTTATCTCACTTTACTCCAATTAGCTTTTGAGTGAAAGGTTCCAGTTTTCCACCAAAACTGGCGGTATCTTTTAGTTCTTCGTATCACAAGAGAGGCGGAACTGGGAGAGGTCGAATTCAGTGTTTCACTAGACATAGCTGTTTTTTTAAAAAATTTGATGCCCTTCAAAATAGTTTGATGGTAGTTGTACGAAGGTCCTAACTTCTCGTTCCAAAAAGATGCCATATCAAGGTACAAGGTGTATTGAAGTATTGATCATACGATCAGATTACGCAACTTTGTCATAAATAATTATCCTCATAAAACGTTTCAATAACCTCAAGTGGGTAAGAATATGACTATAACTATAACATAGCAGGATTATAATGTGATTCAAGACCATATTAATTCTTAAAATTATTATATCAATTCACTCAATATCTCATATTATCCATCTCATACGCGCATTTCACATATATTTCAAGCCATGCACATTTCATGAATCTCGCGTATTTTGAGTTACGTACATTTCATGAATCATTTCATGAATCTCGCGTATCATATGATGGGAATAACCTAACCTAAGTGCAAATAAAAAAAAATTGGATCAAATATAGTATAAGAGATATATATACTCTATCAATTGAGGCCATGCAAAGTTAATTAATTGGTTCTCGGTCAAATTTTGAAAATTTCACAAAAAATTTTTTATATGTTTTACTAAAAATTTGATCGTTAAGTTTTTGAATTCGGTGTTATCGGAATTGAATTTTCGGAATTACAGTAATCCGGCCGATCAATTTTTATCAGTTGTCCCAAAGTTTATGAGAACAGCTATAATAATCGGCTGGGCTAAGCTTTTACAGCTGTTTTCATAAATTTTGGAAAATCCCAAAAATTGACCGACCGAATATTTGCCGATTCGATAAGTTTTGATAAACTTTTGATTCACATCCGAATCAAAAGTTTATCACTGCCGAATAAAAAAGCTTATCGAATCGGCAAATATTCGGTCGGTCAATTTTTGTCAGATTTTCCAGAATTTGTGAAAACTGCCGTAAAAAATTTTTTTTAAAAAAAAGTCGATTCATTTTTATTGACCATAAAGGAGAATAACCATCACTACCGATGCCGATAGGTAATTTAGCCGACACACCCAACGTGACAATTTACGTACTACGTAAATTTTGTTAGTAAACTGTAAAGGCTACATCACAATTTTTTACGGTACCCACCAAACACACACGCATTTGTTTTCATGATGCAGAGCACGGTTATTACGCTAGTTTAACTTAAAATGCCAACTCAATTATTCATATAACTTAATGCTATATCTGATATAGTTTTATTAGTGTTACTTATGTTGCTTTCTGATTGGTCAACAAGCATAAACTTATTTAATAATTTAATATGTATAAATTTGCACTAAATGGATATCATATATATATAGTATACGTTTTATCACATGCAATAAAAAAAGGCTAGCGCTAAACCTAAATTTTAACGTTGAAGATAGCATATAAATATGTATATAAAGCATCGGTATACAGTATACCAAATATATAATAGTGATTTGCTTTAACCATAATTTTAAGAATGGTCACACTTCAAAGCTAAACAATTGATAATAAATATAATTGTTGAGTAACAGAATGGTGTATTAATAAATTTTGAGGTCTTTATCGTTATGTATTAAGAGTAACATCAGAGAATGCACAGATAATAAATAAATGTTTAATAATAATAATAAATAAATTTAATACGTACGTACGTAATAATAAATAAATTTCCTCCATTAATATTAATAATAAATAAATTTACTAATCCTACTAATCCTAATCGAAGTCGAAGCCACACTCTTGCTTCCAAAAGTACAAGTGAATTGGCTAAAAGTGTACCCGTTTAATAATCTTATGATATTCGAGATTTGAAACATTCGACATCAGCTTGCAGACTACTTGGCGTAATTCATACCGTACAGGGAAGTGTTCAGGTGCTTGCGCCTGACTGACCTTTCATTCAGTTGACCAGTCAGAAAGCTTAATAATCATTCACGAGATAAATTTGGTCTATTTTCAGTGATATTTGCTACTAATTTAGAATGATCACAATTGTATATCATTAATAAAACTACATTAAGAAAATTCGGATAAAAAGGTAATAAATGTACAGAGATAAAAATCAGATTACCTATATTGGTCTGGTTTTTTCCGTATCATACGTATCGATATATCATACGTATCGATATTATAATTACCTCCCTCCTACTTCAGTACTTATGTGCGTTATTCATTTTACTTAATGCAATACTTACATATATTATCTCACACCGCGTGACCAATAATCGTTGTGCTGTATTATTATCAGAATTAGGTGTTTATAATGTTCTGTCGTGTATTGGGCAAGCCCTTATAACAGGATATCATTTTCTACACATGGGCCTAATTAATTTGGTATTTATTATTATCGTTATGTTTGTACATACTTAAAAGTTTTTTCCTTATGTAAGGAATTCTACATGCTTAACTTAGCGTTAGAGGCTGGTGATGTTGTACATGTGAAACAATACAAATCTAAGTGGAATTTCTCCAGAAATTTTGGAATATGTCTTAACACAAAAGGTACAACAGTCCAATTCCTCATTAAACTTATTACCACTTGAGGTAAAGATGTTCCTGTCAATTTAGAATGTGCTACCTTAAACGGGTTAGAATTAATACTCATTATGTTTGCATATTAGTGTCAGTATTAGTATGTATGTGGTAATAGAATCCATATTTTTTTTATTCATAACCTTGAAGGCAAGGAAAGTCGTACGTATACGTAAGCATATATTAATATACTATACAAAAATGGCAATTAAATTTTTTTTTGATGTATAAATATATTAAAAAATTCAATTCATTTCGATTGACAATGGAACGTTAATCTCCTCCCGTGAAGAACCACCTTTGGAGATTCTACTTTTTATTTAACCTCGAATCGTTCTGCAAGTTATAAGCAGTTTTTTTTTTCTTTTTTTTTTTTTTTTTTTGCTCTAATATTTTTCAACATGGAAAGAAGAATATGGGAATTTAAAATAAAAACAATAAAATTGTGGTTTATGAGGCGGGTATGTATAATTTTCTTTTGGTGGCTCATTGTAATTTATTGAGCGAGACTTTTATGTTGTCTGGTGCGTCACGTTTATATGTTAATTAAGAACTCTTGACTCTTTCAAAGTATGAAAAGTTGGTCGAGTCGAAATGGACTATCCTCTTTATCATTACTTCCATTGTCCAGACTTTCATTACCATAATAATTCAATCACTTGTTGTTGGCCGAAACCAAAACGCTTCTTTATATTTTCAAGGGAAGTGGCGAGAAGAAAGTACGCTTAATGCTACGCTTAATGCTACGCTTAATGCTACGCTTAATACTACTGCCAACGAGTGCAAAGCAAATATTGATGGTCGTATGACCAATATTGTCGGAGAAAATATCATAATCCTACTTGCCAATATATTTTTATTATTCTTTAGTTATGATGCAGTATGTTCTTTTTAATCATTCATTCTAATGTTATTATAATGTTCTTATAATGTTATTATAAGGTTATTGAATTTTTGTTTATAATTGTTAGATTTTAAATCAGAACACAATACAAATAATAACTGTAGTGGTAGTGAACTATGCAATAGGAATAGTTGCTGCTGTATGTGTTTATACGTTAATTACCTTTCGTTCATTTGTTCTTTTACAAATTGCTTATATGTCAAGTTCTGTAGATACAAATAGTAGAAATTCAAAGATGGCAAAGCCAGGCAGTTGATTGTACACCAGGATTCAAGATCTTTGACTTTAAGGTGGAATTGTACGAAGCACCATCAGTAATAATATTTTTAATATGTGCGACAATGATGGGATTCTTTACTTGGAAATTATATCAGCAATTTGGATGGAATATTTACAAAAGAATTGGTGCTGATCGTAATATGCAAAGTAATCTTTTTAAAATTTTTCTCAATCGGTTATTACTATATTTATTATTTATTTATTTATTTTTTATTTTTTATTTTATTTTATTTTATTTTTTAGAAATTTATAGAACAATGTTAATTTTCGTCATGCATTTAAAACTGGATCTTTTCTTTATGGTGGTTTTGTCTATAGTGGCTTGTGTAGTACTCTCACAGCCTGAAAAGCTTAAATCATCATCACCAGTTTTGTATTGGTTCCATGTAATTGTAACAGTTCTAATATTTATCTTGCAGGCTCTCGCTTATCGTATGGTAAGACTTTATATTTGTGTACAAATTTTTCGTTATATTACTGAGTAACTTATAACTATGTTGAATATAAAAAAAAAAAGTTGAGAGAGGAATCTAATTTAGGAATGAAAATATTCATTGGTTTATGGTTAATACCGATTGCCGACTTCATAGCTCTTCTCGTAAAATCAATTGGCACAAGTGCACAAGATAGTTGGTATTTTTTTATAATCTTTAGTAAGTTCCTATTCCAACCGTTTTCATTGTCATTTGCGAATTTTTCGAGGACCAGACATTACCGATTTTAACCATTCTATTTCTATCATATCTAGTTGTTTTTGGTATCATAATGGCATTGGTGAGCATGATTTTATTTTAATATTTGTGTATCAAAACTTGTATAATTCTTGAATTTTAATTTTAATTACTAAAAATATGTTTTTTAAAATAGTTGACGCTAGTATGGTCAATACTTGTATTAAACAATTTTGACAAAGGACTAAAACGACATCGTAATTATTCACTTTTTTTTTGATCTCCGTTTACTTTTTAATCTCCGTTTACATAACACCATAACACTGATCAACAAACATATGTTTATAGTAACGACAGGCATAGGTGACATACAATGTCCGCGGGATACGGAACAAACTTCAGAGACGCAACCTCCGGGTCGTTGGGCAATTGATGAAGATTGACCAAATATACTCTTCAAACCCAATTTCACATCATTCAAAATTTTCATTCAAAATTATCCATTAAACATACTACCGTAAATACATTCCTCTAACTTGAAAATTTTACAATATTAATCTTAAGTACTTGTAACTTTAAAGATTCCATTGGTTAAAAACCAGATCTATTGTAATAAATATAATGTATATTAGTTTGTTTAACAATTTCATTTATTAACGTTATGTGTGTCCAATCTTTGGTTAAAATCTTGAATCGTGTATCAAATTTCTCACGTGCATTTTGAAAAATTATAAATGAATTTGATCTACGTAAAATTTACTTAAATATGAAAGGATTAGTTGATTATACATCATCTTCAGATAACGATAGTGAAGAATTAGATTATGATATTAACCAAAGTAAAAAACGTATTAAAGAAACTCCAGGTTCTGAAAACAAAAATAGTGTTTGTGGAAAAGGCGTGAAACGGAAAGCTGAAGAGTTCGATAAATATTATTCCGAATCAAAGTGAATAAAAATCTTTAGCATAATCGATTTCCTTTTCATTCTTTCTAGTTAATAATTTTTAAATTATAAAAGTTCTGGATCTGTGCCAACACCAACAGTAAAAGCTAAGACATTACCACCGTTGCCTTTAGAGTTTTTAGAACTATATCAAGGTATGAATAGTTTAAGAAATTGAAAATTCAAGCTAGAAATCTAATAATATTATAAAACATAAAGAAATTAATCGAATATTTGGATCCATCTAAAATTGTAGATGAACGACGAAAAAATTATACGAAACATGTAGAAAACCCATCAAGTCATCAAGGGCGAATACGAACCAAACCACATGTTGAAGGCAATTGGGCTACGCATGTGTATATGGAAGGTATAATATTAACTTTTCTTTATTCATATAAATGAGTGACTTGTTTGTTAACAAAAATCATTGCATTTATTATTTACAGTTGTTATTCCCGAGGATTTTAAGTCATTACTTCGAAAAATGAAAACTTGTGCGCAGAATGCTGCAAGTACTTTAAGTGATGATATAGAAATTATTTCATATATCGATGACGATGACGATGATGATGTAGTAGAAGGAGAAACAAATTGCAAATTTTTTAACAATGACGTGACGCCACCTATTGACGCACAAAAAACATTTAATGATTCAAAGTTACATATTAGTTTGTCTAGGCCTTTATTTTTGAAATATTTTCAAATAGAAAGATTTTGGGAAAATTTAAGGAAAGGATTTGAAAATAAAAAACGGTAAATAGTTTACAATAAATATATCTAGCATTGATTAATTACTCAAAGAAAATTCTAATTTACTTTTTTATTTAATAGATTTTCTTTATCATTTTCTGAAATTAACCATTTCACTAATGATGAAAAGACTAGATCTTTTCTTGCTTTAGAAGTTGGTAGGGGAGTTAACGAGGTATGTGTGAATTCCCATTAGAATTTTTAATTTAAAAAATTCTCACATTTATTACATTTATTATATGTATATATAGTTAAAGATATTGTTGGAACATGTCAACAAAGTAGCAAAAGATTTTCGGCAAGAAGAGTTCTATGAGGTATTTAACTTATTAAACCTTTAGAGACTAAATTATTCGATCTTTCTCACATTCATATTTGTTAACTTCAAAAAAGAATCCTCGATTTCATGCAAGTGTTTTATGGTCAGTCGGAGACAAACCAGTATATGAATCATTACGTGATGCAATTATAAGTTCAGGATTTGAAGATATCATTAGAGATTATGTATTTATCATTAATAAAATGGTTTGTAAAATTGGTAATAAAACATTTTTTGTAGAATTATTATAATTTAGTTTTTCTTCGAAAGTATCAGATTTTTAATAAAGTTATTGATCTGTCGTAGTACACATTATTGAATACTATCAAACTAACTTATTTTGGATAGAATATAACCATTGTTAATCTTGACGTAATAAGTGATTAGAATTTGCATAATATGGTGTGATTATATGTTAATCTCATAAAATTAAGCGCAATTTTATATGTCCAATCATGTCAAATTACTAACATTGGTTACAATCATGTGATTTAATATCAAAAACCAAAAAAAAAATTTAGCGGAATTGAGATGGAGTTACTGGGGATCGAACCCAGGGCCTCTTGGATGCAAACCAAGCGCTCTACCGCTGAGCTATAACCCCGCGATTACTATTCATTTCTATTTTGTTACCATTTTATTTTTTTTAATCGAATGTTCGGGATTCCCAATTTATCCACATACGTACATGCGCCTGAAAATTCCTTTAACTAACGTACAATTTCAAAGTGAAATTAGGAATGACGAACATTATGCTATTTTCATACATATGTCTATATTTATATTTAAGAATTTAAAGAATTTGAATTTAATAAACCTTAAAATTTACTTCTGTATCGCCAGTTTAGCCAATTTGAAACCTGGTTTAGACAGATATTATATTTCAAACAGAAATTTGTGTATATTTTTCATGATTTAAACAAATAATGGGAAATTTACAAATAAGGGCCCGGAAAGTGAAAAATAATTACCTATAAGGGCCTAATTTTTAAAAAATATTACATATAAGGGCCCAGATCTATTGGTGGCTGCGCCACAAAGAACTATGACCATTTAACTTATAACGATTATTATCAATTGTTTTATTATAGGTATTTATAGTTATCTATATACCGATTATTAGATATATAAAAGGATAAATGAAGCTCTGGTTATACGTAATCATTTTGCTTAAATATTGTGCGTTAAATTAGCATAAGGCGAAGAAGTTTCAACAGAGTAGCTCTCTAGATCTGAACGAATATCTTCCATATTAGTAAATATTTACTTCGCATCATAATGGTTTGTTATAACAAAAAGCAACTTTATACAAAGAAAATGAAATTTATTAAATTTAAAATTTTTCTCATTTATAATTACTAATTTACAGTCAACCGTTATATATATTCTTATGCCAATGGCGATCAAGCCACAGGCTTGAATAACATCGCAGTTATTTTGGGCCCTTATATGTAATATTTTTTTTAAAATTAGGCCCTCAAAAATAATAGACTTAATATGATCAATGTGTGTTCAAAAATAATTTTAATGTTTTTTCTTAGAATTACATTTAAACTATTTTAATGATATACTAATTTACTAGGTAAATGCAAAGCATTGTATGTCTGGAACTTATTTAATTAGTGATTTGCTACTTAACTAGTATATGATCTTAGTATAATATAATACAATGACCCGTGGGTCGATAGCGCAGTGGTTAGCGCTCCCAGGTCACAATCACAAGGTCACAAGTTTGAGTTACTGGGTGACAAACAGCTCTGCCAGGACCACGATTGGCTAAGATCTTTGGAGGATTTTTCATTAAAAAATGAAGAACAAGATTCATATAAGTTGCAGTCTGCTGGCATAGCCATGGGGCTGGGGACAACCAGATAAGGTGTAATCCATCAACAAACAATGCTAAAATTGAGAAAAATCCAGCTTAAGGATTACTAGAATCAAGGATATCAGATATAAAAAGACAATCCGGCTTGTGGGTTATGTGAAGTTAGGGAACTGTGGATCTAGAGAATATAGATCCTACACTGCAGCATTAGGGACCCGGGATGTCATATGACATACTTAACAGAGCATAAGTTATCTCACCAGTATGGTGATATATAGGTGGCCAATTTGCCATACCAGTAATCTCTGCAAATATGAAAACTCTGGCCTTTGAGAGATGTAAAAGATCTGAAGGTTTCTAAGGATCTTCGAGATGCAGAGGGAAGTAAAAAAAAAAAATATATATATATATATATAATACAAATCACTATATAAATTATATATACTCTAAATATAGTATTCACTCAAGAAAAAATTTTTTTTATTAAGTTAATTACTCTTTTAGCTTAAGTAAAAATTGTAGAGCTCATCAAGACACTTCTAACAGTATTAAGATTATTAAAAACAATTTAGTAGTTACTAAGATATCACCAAAAAATAAATTATGTAAAATTTTTATTTTTATTTTTTTTATAGTCAAGGTTAATCTTTTTGACTTATCACTTTTATTAAATTGTAAGATCATGTGGTGCTCTTTTAAAGGAAGCCTTAGATAAGAATATTCAGATAAGAATACACATAAACATATATACAACTTTAGTCATTGCCTATTTAAAAACTCTGCTATATCTTTATAGTTACTCTTCATATGTTATATCTAAAATCTGCTTGTGGATTTTTTATTAAACCCTCTGATCTGAGTTTTTATGCCAATTCATTTAATCTTATCTGAAACAAATGATATATTAGTTAGTTCAAGTTTCAGAATCATCACAAACTACTTATAGAATTACTGGTATAGTTAACTGATTTATCTTCAAATACATTATCTGCTAGAGCAGTTGGTATCTACTATTACTATAATATTTAGTTTATTTCAGTAATTTATACTAAGTCCAAGTACAAATACTTATAAGCTGAAATTGCTATTATTACCTACTTAGCCTTTGTAGAGTTCATCCAAATCCTAGTACCTCTTCTTTAAAACAACTTGGTACCTTTCTTTTTAGTACTTTCTAACTAGGATCTTTAAACTACCACTTCAGATAGTTTGGAAGGGACACCAATTCTGTGATATTTGCTGATTTTTTTTTTTTAATCAATGTTTATGCCAGCAGCCTAGTTAGTAGAACAACTTGCTAGGAGACATTCTTGCCATATCCAGTTAACCAACCTCAGGTAAACCTATTTCAGTAATTATTATTAAAAGTTTGTATTACTTCTTTACTTAGGTTTTGCCAAACAGTGTCTATCTTTTTGGTTCTTTGGATTAATATAATTATGAAAACTTATTTTGAATTGCATCACTAATACTGGTTTGTATGCCTTTGTATAACTTATATATTGCATGAATATCCTATAATTTTCTAATTTTGTTAGTATCATTAAAATTGCAAAGATCTTGTTTCAACTGATTATTGAAAGACAGTAACTGTTATACAAGCAAAATATTCAAAATTTTGTTGTTAGTAGGTTTTAAACCCCAACCTTCCAACATACTGTTTGGAAGTGTGACAACTAAACCACTTTACTAAGTCACCACACTCTCTATATAAAATTTTTATATATAATAAGAAAATAGGGTTCTAAAAAAGGCTCAATTTTTAATATAGCACCAAAAAAACTTATCTTTTTTATAGATTAATAACATATAAAGTGTAAAATAAGAAAATAAGGTTCAAAAAAATAGTTCTATTTTTAATGTAGCACTAAAAAAAGCTTCTCTTTTTTTATATATTAATAACATGTGAAGTATAGGATAAGACTAAAATTTTGTATAACCTTAAATCATGTGAGTAGACAGATAGAAAATGCAAAATTACTTTTTTTTTAAATTTTAATATTTGATGCATCAAAAAAGTGTAATAAACTGACTAAAAATTCAAAATACTAAAAAAACTTCTAAAATATCTTGATGAAAAATGCTTTATTTAATACCTGTATATTATTTAGAGATTAAACCAGCCAAAAAAATTATAACCAGTTAAAATTTATGAGTGATGCCAAAAAAAACAGTATTTAAGTTAGAAATAACGTTTAATTACTTTGTATAGTATTTTATACTAAATTTCCATATTACATAGGAAGTCAATGCAATCATTTTTAGGGCTCTGCAAATGCACATGCCAGGCATATAGGCATTATGCCAAGTACCTAGTGCCTAATGCTGTGCTATACCTATAGGCAGTGTTGTACGCAGACATTGTCCTGTTAAAATTACAGGGACACGGACAGTCCCGGACAGTGTGGACAATGTCCCATGTCTGTGATGGTATCCCATGTCATATAGTTTATCGAAAACCTGATTGGCTAACAAGGCCGTTCTTATTATAATTTTAATTGTCCGGGACAAAAAATAATCGCGGACATGTCTGCGGATGCCCGTCCCGGACTGTCCGCCGTCCACGTCTGTGTCCCATGACAACACTGCCTATAGGCATAAAAATACCAGGCACTCTTATAGGCATGAGCACTAAGTACCAGTCACTATTATAAACACAGGCACTAAGTGCCGGGCACTATGATAGGCACGGGCACTAGTGCCAGGCACTATAGGCACTATTATAGGCACTAAGTGCCGAACACTATAGGCACCAAGTGCCGAACACTACAAGCACAGAATACCGGGCACTATAGGCACTAAGTACCGAGCATTATGGACATCAAATGCTAGGCACTATAGGTGCTAAATGCTAGACATTATT